AAAACAATTCTCAAATGTTTGGGGGGAGGGGGGGGGCTATACTAAAGGGGGTGCCACATTAACTTGTGCCACCTTAACTTTACATCCAAAGGGAATTCTTACTCCCTATCGGTGACTGGAATCGTATTCTACCAGGCAGAAGCCAGAAGTTCAGAATTGTTGAGTCTCCAGCGGATGATGGCAGAAGGGGATGGATTCCTTCCGTCATCTTGAAAACCAGGAGGCTGAGGAGCAGACTGTCGCCCATGCTTTCTGGCAGAAGGCCACAGATGCTGAAGAACGCCTTGCAACAGATAAACTTGCTGGCGATGCAGGACGAGATTCAAGATTTCACGGCTACGTGGTAGCGCTGATACAGTAGCACACGAGTGCGGGTTTGTCGCAGTCAGTGCTCAGGCTGCGGCCGTGGTTGCAAGCGCCGAGTGTGGCTACCACACACCGCGTCCCGGCCAAAAATGTCTTGAAGCCAAATTGTTCGCACAAAGAAGCTCTGACTGAAAGATGTGGCTTGTCACTGAGGCCTACAGGCATTCAGCTTGGTTGTTCACTGCATCTTCGGCAAATAGCGGAGGAACACCTGGTTTAGGCCTAGCGTATCTAGCCTAGACCTTTGCTCGCAAAGAAGCGGCCCAGGGTGAGGATCTCCTCCTATATCGATGTTCGCTGTTGAGCTTGATTCATTACTGAAACGTCTGCTTCCTTTGCTGTCTATACAATTGCCTCTCCCAGTTTATGTACCGGGCTCGAGGATTGCCATGCTTGTCTTCAAGAGGAGCTGATCAATCAAGGTCCTTCTATCGGCACTTCCTTGCAGTTACTCCTCACGGATCCTCACGGTAGACCCTGCCATGGTTCCTGAGTCCCTTTTCAGCCGCTTCTCAACCACGCTTGAATCTGAAACGGGGCGTCAGCCTCAGCAAACGCAGAATTGCAAAACAGGGTCGCTTGACGATCAGGCATCGTGGGAACTGTTCCGTGACATCTTGAGGACATGGCGTCTGCATGGCGCTCAAGCTTCCGGCAAAGTCCTGGATTGCCTGTCCAAAGGCTTCTGGGTGAAGGTCTCGAGCCTTGAGAACAGCTTAAACTTCCTCGCAGCATTCCCAGGTCCTACCGTAAGCTGCAGGGCCTGGAGAGTATACTGGAAAAATCGGCTTACATGTTATGGCTTCCTTTTCTTCGGGTGGTTTTTTGTCTCTGGCTTTTGCTACGGGTTCCTGGGAATATCTGGGAATTCTCTCGGCACCCAAAATGAGAGGATGCTCCGCGCGAGAGCTGGCCTTGGAGTAAGGAGCCCAAATGTGAGGATTGCTTCATGCGAATGCGCAAGCCTGTACCTCAGGATCCTCCTTGCCAGAGCACGATTTTGCATTCAACGGTTAGGACACTCCATGAGGGTTTATGTCTCGAAGGTTGGTTCTTTCTGTAACCCTATAACCACTATGACATCCTCACCGAACTCGTGAGAACACCCTCAGGAAATTTGACTCTCGTGGCCTGCGCGCTGGGCTTGTCTTTCGATGCCATGAGCTCGTCCTCCCCGGGTCACGCAAGGGCCAAAGATCATGGGTGGCCATAGCGCCACTAAGACCTGATAAAAGAAGCGCAAACCCCGGTGAGGGCATGACATAAAGGAACAACAAATACACATGTCAAGACGTGGCATAAGCCATATGAGACACAATCACAACATGATCACAGAACGGGTCCGAGGACCACGTCTGCGACACTCCTGCTCTGGGTAATGAAACGGCACCGACTAGCGATATTTGACAAACTCCAGAGGCACAGCGTGCCACCTGCGGCCAACACGAATTGAAAAAGAGCGGGCAAATCAGCCAAAAGCATCATCCGTATAGGCATCACCAGAGCAACCACAAGCGACGCGAGCTCATGAGGTCTGACTGTCAGACTCCTCCAGCAAAACATGCTGGAAGTTCATCGAACTGGGAAACGCTGAATCTTCAGCGTTGTTGATTTGAGACCCAAGCCTGAAACAGAGGTCTGTTATATGCGTTCGCTACATCAAAATATGGGCACTTTCCCGAAGCACCTCTTACCTGTCTTCCTAAAACGCAAGCTCAGAAAGAAGCCCAGATGCCTTCATGTCAAAGGAGGCATCAAGCCCGTAATCCTGCAAGTTGGCCAGGAGGGGTCGGTCTGGGGACACAACACTTTCAATTCTGAAGGGCTCGTCACTTGGACGCTTAGGGAACTGGTGCAAGCGTAGGATGAGGTAAACGACGTTCTGGATCCTCCTCTGTTGCAGCCTTCCCAAGCTGCCTGGAAAACCTGCTGGTCTCATCATATGTTGGGCCAAGATTAGACATAACATCTAAGAACCTGAGTCAGCCACCAATGCTGACCTCATGCCACGACTTGCACTACCCGGTCGCCTTCTGCATGCGCTTCCTCAGCCGCCTGTGGGCAACAGCACAGAAACAAAGCTTGAGGATCTTGATGCTGAATTCCGAGCCATCTGGCAACCGGTGAACATCCGAACCTTCTTGAGGTCGGATTGCTTATGACCGTCTTAGCGTTGCATATGTTGGGAGTTGTTAGCGTTGCCTGCTCCTAACATCCGCAGCAGAAGGTGTAAGCCTCTCAAATCGTGCCAGGATGTTTTAGCCTCAAGCTTTGCGAGCACTCGATTATGGCAACGTTTTGCAGGCGCGTTACAAGTCTTACGCAGTGTGGACCCCAAACTGCCCTGGAAAACCAGCCTGACCTCGGCATATGAGGGGCCAAACTCCCTGAATCTCAGCCAACAGCCCTGAACACTTCCATGCTTCGTCTATCATCACTACGATAAGCCACGCATTCCACCCAGAAGGGTCCCTCCCTTACCAAAGAAGTATCAAAACCATGAAGAGCCAGCTCGCCTTGGTATCTTGGTGTTGTCCGTGTCGCCATTGACAGGCTGCCTGCAGTTGTCAGAGGAGTTGAATTTGAGTCCGCTTCTGAAATCCTTGTGTACGTAACACGGACGATGCCATGATGTTTGGAAGCCGCAGATGCAGAACCACCTCCGATGCCGGCTTAGCTTCTTTTGAGCACTGGATACAAACATGCATCAACATACCCCCTCCCTAAACGCAGATGGAGTGGGGGTGGCTGAAATGCACGTGGTGGTCGATCCCACTCTCAACAGTCTGCATGCTGGAAGCCTGCCTGGCAGGGGGAGGAACTCACTCTGTGCGTGTCAACTGCTAGCAGGCGTATACAGTCCAGGGCTCTTTCAAGGCATATTATCTTATGTTTACTGTAATGGGGTTTACTCTGATTGCTCTTGTTCTGACAATTGCTACCAACACAGCCAGCCCAACTGCGTTCATCTTTGAGACCCCCCACTCTTACACAAACGAGCCCGTGCGCACGCCTATCAACATACAAGGCGTAGAACTGCAACACGAGCTCGCCAAGGTCAACCACGTTGTCCAAGATGGCCTTCTTGGAGTTTGCTGATCACCTGTACTTCCACCCGATACTATCACAACTTAATACACCCATATGCAGGAAAATAACCCATTTTGAAAACCTCAAAGTGGCATTATCGTTGAACATCGGCATGTGATGCGTTGCCTATGCCGACTGCCGGCTGCACTACAGCATATCAGACTACCATTCTGTCATGCCAGGTCATCCACGATTTTCTATTATGGATTCCGGTGGCCTCTGTGAACATGTTCTCAGCCACCTGCGTTTTGCACGGTCAGGTCTGATGCAATGATCAGCGATGTTAGCTCAAGCCGGAAACAGCTTTGAAGACGCAATCGCAACAACAACAACAACAACAACAACAACAACAACCACAACCACAACCACAACGACAACCACAACCACA